ACGAAGCTCAGTAACGAACTTAACCTTGGTCCCGACAATAGTAAGCACCACACCAAGAATTATAATCAACATTTTACAAATACTTGAGTTATCTTGCTAACAAGCCACAAACACAAAAGGTGCACTAACGTGACGCACGGACCCCCCACGAAGCCAAAACTTGTACTTGACTTCGGCCTTAACAGCGGTAATCTGCCTGCCAAAAATCATGGACGTCGAATCATGCCTTCCAGAGTTATATCGCAAAATCCGCAGTTCCCCACACTCCGGCGAGACAATTTCATAGTCCTTCTAACGAAGACAATAAAATGATTCTTAATAAATTGTTTTAGAACAAGATGTTAGCTCATACTACATGTATATTGTCACATTATTACGTATCCCTCCCCAGAATATGTATAATGAAAACAGTTCAAAATAATACATTCCTAAACTAAGCTCATTATTATCACCCTACACCAGTACAAGGAATTGACTACTTGTATCTCCAAACATATATCTGATCAGCTCCCTCGTATACGGCGTTTCGTGAAGCTTTCTCCTCGGGCCGAGAGTCGTGTTGTCGTCACAGCTGCTACTGAAGCTCCCGGATCCTTGGCGACTGGGCCTCCACCAATTTCAACATATTCTGAAGAGGTCAAACCATTTTTTTGCCTTTCCTCGCTCCCTGAGATTCTTAACTTAAGCAATAATGTAACAGATAGAAGGAGGGTCGACGTGTCTTCAAAATAGACGCTATAAAAATGAGTTGAGTTCGGTAGATTTGAACCTCGCGGTCTTGTCTTAAATGACATGTTAGTGCATTTGAAAGTATAAACATACTTTCAAATTCTGTTGAACAAGCAGGAAGAAAGTTGAACAGCTTTGTGCATTTATCATCATGTAAAATTTAATTGCTGACCACTGGCCTAATCTTGAAATCAATGAAAGATACACATGCACTAGGTGTATATTTGTTTTAATTTGTTCAGTCGTGCTGTCCAGATTTCTACAATGTTTGATAGTGTCTGATAACTTATACAATAGAGTACTCTAGTGCAATTAATTCTTATTTTTTTCCATACACTGTAGCATCTAGCTTTGCAAGATCTGTTTGCAGTATTGGCATTATAGAAAGAGACAAAGTACTAGGTCATGTGCAAGTGTTTATTATGATTACCTGGTTGCTAGTTGCCCATTCTTGTTCTTTTATGTCTAGATGTATCGTGAGGGTGGTCCTGATGTTCATATCGAAACCAGACCAGACGAGGGAGTTTGTATAGGTGAGACAGTGCTTTACAATTTCTTTATTTCATATGACATGTTGAGAAGTCTGGTGTTTAAAACTACTATTAATACAGTTAGAAACAACTTAACACTGTGAACTATCACTACGAACATGGCAAAGGTGGCCAGATGGTCTTGTGGTAAGGATTGTTGACTGAAGATTTTGGGAATCCCTAGCAGGCCTCAAATGAAGTAAATCTTAATAAATAAAGGGATAGCTCAATTGTGTAATTTTATCATTATCCTTTATTGTCACCCAGTGTTGCCTGGAGATGTTTTTTTTGCATCACACTAATTATTCTTTCATATAGATAGGTGTGTCCTAAATGTTCCTGTCCTTACTGGGAGAAACCTGTGGTGACGGGCAACTTCTGTCCAAAGAAGACAAGATGAGGGTTCAGCAATGTTGACTTGAAGACAGTAAAGAGTCATATAGGTGAGACATTGCTTTATAATTTTTATTCTGTTAGGTCTATTTGTTAAGAACTCTAAGGCATCACCAATCACATGTGTTCAGAAACATCCTTTGATTTTGAAGAATTTATCATTCTTCACAATCATTAAATATTGCCTTTTTGCTATGTTAAATTATCTTTTCATGTGTCCTGATGTTCCTGTCTTGACTGGGAGAAACCTGTGGTGACCGGTGACTTCTGTCCAGCAAACCATTTAACTTAAAACCACAGTGAAAAGTTTGTACAGGTGAGACAATGCAGCTTTACAACTCGCGTGTTTCTTTCTTCTCTCAGGTGTTAACAACTCTGTGGCAAACATACATAGTTAAAATCTGTAATACTTATGAGCTTAATAATGTCTACATCTTATTCAAGCAAAGGTATAGTGTTGAATTTTACAATCTTTCATGGTCATTCAGTGTACTGTTGATTGGACTCATTGGAGATGTTGTTTTATATATGTAACGTAAAATCATTTACGGCATGTCCTGAGGGTCAGCAGGCCTGACTGAGAGAAACTTGTGATGACCGGTGACTCCTGTCCAAATTTGTTGAGGGCTCAGCAAACCTGTTGACTGCTCAAGTCACCGAGGGAAAAGAAGAATTTCTACAAGTTAGTCAGACCCTTAAATTCATTTGTGTGAAAAACTAGTGTAGACAGGCAGCACATTGTTGCCCGTTTTATGTGTGATCCACATTTGAAGGTCGACAAAAATGACACAACTATGGATTTTACCAACACAAATGAGCTTTGATTTGAAGGCCAATAGCTGTTTTCAATACACTGACTTTCTGTCTTCAAGATGGCATTGTGGATGATTCGGGGAACGGACTTTTGTCAGCAGATCTCAACCTGTGTAAAAGAAGATGGGGAGGTGTGAGTATGTTTTCTTTATTAACACGAGACAACACTCCATATGCACACACTTTTTTTGTGAGGAGCCATTTAGCCGGCGACTTCAATTTCACGACAAGCAAGACAGAAAAATTCTTCATATTGTATAGTTGAATGCCAAATTGCCCCAAAATTGTCGCTTTATAAAAATTATCCTGCTGAAAAACTTTGTATCTTAGCTGGCCGCCAAATTGCCCCGCCAAAATTGATTGGGACCCTCACCTGACTGCCAAATTTCCCCACCAAAAAACTTCGTATCTTTGCAGGCCACATCAATTCCACACTTGCTTATTCCTTCTTAAGTCCAGTTTCCAAAAAAATGATTGGGACCCTCACCTGTTTAACTAATTAGATTAAAGTTTTCCCGCCAAAAAACTTAGTATATAGAACACTCTAACCTTGAACTTGTGCCCCCCTCCCCACACTTCTTCCACCACTCACACAGTATATTAGTTACACTGTTCCAACGCTTTGCACTTCTTCAGACATGTAACTTCTCTGAACACTTAGTTGATCGAGTGCAGTTTTTCTGCCACTCAAACGTTAGAATAATCTCTCGCTCTCCTGGTCAGCCATGCACTAAGTGTACTCCCCGTGGGATGTCTTTCCGGAGACATTGATGCTTCGAAACATCAGTATACCAGTGCAATTGACTGACCAGGAGAGCGAGAGAGATTATTCTAAAGTTTAAGTGGCAGAAAAACTGCACTCGATCAACTAAGTGTTCAGAGAAGTTACATGTCTGAAGAAGTGCAAAGCGTTGGAACAGTGTAACTAATATACTGTGTGAGTGGTGGAAGAAGTGTGGGGAGGGGGGCACAAGTTCAAGGTTGGAGTGTTCTATATACTAAGTTTTTTGGCGGGAAAACTTTAATCTAATTAGTTAAACAGGTGAGGGTTCCCATTATTTTCTTGGGTGGGGGGCAATCAACTCAAAAAGGAATCTGCCTAGAATTAATGCAATGGCCTAAGCTTTTTTGAGTGGGGACAATTTAAGTGTAAAAGGTCCAAAGCGACAATTTTTGGGCGCAAAAAGGCATGCTGACCCTCACAGTAGTGAGAAATGCGAATGAATGTGTCATGTGTGTGAACCGTGAAAGACAAGTGCAGTGTTGTCTCATGGTAATAAAGAAACCATTAATCCCGATTAGTTTTTATGGGGGTAGGAAAATCAACTTAAAAAGGAAGGAATCAGCAGAACAAAGTTCTTTCCCTAGATTTACAACTGTCCTAAGTCACACAAACTTCTTAAAATTACATGCCGGCTACAAATTATCTCACTCCGGCCCACTTTATACCAAGATGTTGCAATAGCGCAGTGCAAAGAGAATTCCTGACAGCATAGTCCCACTGTTGTCAAATTTTCTGCTGACAATTCTGAAATTTTGGCAGACAATTTAATGACAGCGAGACTATGCTGTTGGGAATTCTCTTTGTACGGCACTGTCGCAAAAATCTGGGTATAAAATGTGCCTACAGCAGTCTATGTAGAGAGTCATTTGAGACTATATATTAAATATCTATGGTTCTCGTATTAATGTTGATCTTTTGCAGAGACCACCGGGACCAGGAAAGAGATCCTGATCCCCTGTCAAGGCCATACCTGCTGAACCTCTCCCTTTGACTATCTGCTACTTGAGTTATCATCTAAAGTAGAAAGCCACTTCAGAGTATATAATCCTTGCAAAAAGACTAGACATACAAATGTATTTTGTTTTGCTGATATCCTCCCCTTCAAACATCACAGTTTAGTAGTAGTACATATCACTCTACAGAAAGAAAGCACCACATTGCCTTTTCCATTTTCTGTGAAGAAATAGCAACATATTTCCAACAATCATTATGTGACCAAAGTATTTTCCCTGAAATCCATTCCATCACAGGCAAAATTGTACCTAATGATTATATTACAATGTGTTGTATGCATCACTCACAATATTATTCCAATAAACACTTTATGCTTATTTGACAAGAGATGGAATCAAATTGAATGTGTTTTAGGTTTACAAGGCAAACATTGCATTTAAACATGCGTATAGCAAAGTAGGTGAGATTTAGAACGTAAGAAAACATTCCTGACCTCGAAGTGGATATTATTATCAACTATTCTACAGTTTTGGTTTTTTCACATTTACCGTTTTGAGGTTATGCCTGAAAGAAACGCAATATGCTGACAATAAAGTAATTATGTAAACTGATTAGTACTTTTCATTTTGAACCTTATTTGAATGTAAAGCAGAAAACTGGTGGGTGTCAATTTTGTGATACATGTAATTAGGCCATGTTTATTTAATTGTATGGATGACTTCTGCACGCACATGAATTTTTGTCTGTTTCCAAAAAAGAGTTTTTAACCATACTGAAAATCGTACGAAGCAGCTGCAAAATGAGCAAATATAGAAATTGAATTTTAAAAATATTGCAAATTGATAATGCAGAATGCTAAAATCAATTCCAAATGAATATTAATAAAGAAAGGGGTTTTAGATTAGAGTAATTTTAGAATTGTATTTGTTCTAAAAATTCAGTTAAAGTTTATTACTCCATTGTAAATGAGCGTGCAATTTGGCCGTCAGGCTGCAATATGCTTTTGTGCAATAAACCAATTTGATTGATTTGAATTTGATTTGATATATGTCTCATGTATGTCAACTATACTCAATCACAACAGTTTATAATCAGTCTCTTTATTCCATTTAAATTTCCATTTTTGAGTGCTACAAAATGTTAACATCGTTCATCACTAAACACTTGTGCTTTAATGATTGATTCACCATGTGGACTTTTTGTATCTTCACATGAAGGACAGGTTTCATTTCATAAAAGATTTTTGAATGGCTTTTAAAAAGGGTCAATTGAATACTATTGAGGATCATGATGGAGATTGTGGACCATGATGAAGAGAATATCAGGGAAAACAGTTTGATCACAAATGCATTTGAAAATACATCCCATTGCTATACAGAATTAAACAACAGACAATATTCCAAGTGCTCTCCTCTAGAGGAAAATGTACCATGTTCTCCGCCATATCTACAAATTACAATAAAATGTTAGTAAAGAAATGTGAACTCTTTCGGAAATGAAAACAAAGAGCAGGGAGGGCCAGTTTCAACAATGGTGTTTGGAACAAAAAAGTTTGAGGATCGCAAACATGCCCTTTCCCAACATCTTTCATTGTTATTTTCAAGGGTCTACATGGAAACTCCCGATCGCGCCTTGTGAAACGTTCAGTAAAGCAGTGGTCACGATTTACATTTGCTCAGGCTCGTTTCTTAACACGTACATTACATCAAGAAGGTTAAATACATTTGATTTTAAACCTCCTTGATTACATGATATTAAATCAAAGTTGTTCCACTTCAAATTATGCAAAACTCAAATGGCAACACGCAAAACTCTATATTTGAAGCAACGACCCGGTATTAGGCTTCACTTGTACTGACTGGATGATATACGTATAGGTAATGTGTAATAAAACGACCCGGCTTTGCATTATGCAAAACTAAAACGAGTGATTACGCATTGCGGCATGCGGACCCCATTTTTGAAAGAGTTCTAAAGATAGAAGCCAACTCACAGTCAAGTCCGATGTTCTCTTCTCTTGTAGATAGGTGACAGGGCCCTCAGAACACAGCCAGATCCTCCTGGAATATCACGGACAGGAACACAGCCTGGTCCTCTCTGGGAATACAGACAGGTACAGGATAGCCGACAGGTCCCACAGTACACAGGAACATGGTCAGATCCAACATGGTCAGGCATACAGTATCAGCTTCCCAAAACCTAGGGTGTAAAAGAGAAAGCCAAATTACATACACAAACAATATTCACAACATTTGTTCTAAAACCTGCTTTGGGTTGGGGACAAGAGCAATCATGCTTTGGTAGCACGGTACTAATAAGACCACTGCAAAATTACAGTAACAGCCAGTCGAAGGTAAACATAGAATATCATGATCAACAAATTAATGTAGCATCAGAAGCAGGCATGAAATTAAAATGTTTTGTAGATAGGTGACAGGTCCTTCAGGAAGACACTTCAGGAAGAATATGGATGCTCGGACACATGTATATGGATTATGTATAGCTCACAGGTCCCACAGCACACACAGGAACATGGTCAGATCCAACATGGTCAGGTATACAGTATCAGCTGACAATGGTCAGGTATACAGTATCAGCTGACAGCTGCCTAAACCTAAGGTGGAAAAGAAACAAACATTCATCAGAAAAATTACAGGCCAACATCTACATACCCAAAGAATTCGAAGATACATTATCCATTGTAATATTCACAGCATTTGTTTTTAAGTTCTGAAAACCTTGAGTCAGGGGCAAAAGCATATGCTTTGTCAGCGAGGTCAAAGAAAGTACAGTAATACAGGCTTTTCACTAGCGCCATGTTGGAGTACAGTGATGTCTGTTAAACATGCCAACATGCTGCTACAATTTACCCGCCAACACCTGGTCACTGGGATTCAAATGGTAATTATCATGACGTCAATGAAAAGCCTCTATACTAATAGAAAGTGTCATGACCAAACAACAATCACATAAAAATACATCTCACATAGAATACTACATCAAAACAATCCATGTGACCATGTCACACATATGTAGGTATGACTGGCAAGTTCAATCATGCATTTTTAAAACATTATTGAAATACTTCTACATGACATATACTTTAGAGCTTGATAAACTCTGACCGCACCCTGCATCTGCTTGGAAATTACGCTACACTTTTGGCGGGAAAATTGAAAGGATTAATTATGTCCAGGTACAGCACATTTCACACGTGCACGTGGTGGCCAGGCTTCCCACACAAAATAAATTTTCAAATAATTTTCTCCATTATCGCTCGATGTGGTAGACTCAGTTCTCCAAGACAACTCAAAGGCCAAAGCAGAATGAGGAGAAATTGAGAAAAGCACGAAAACGGTGCATAAAAATTTATAGTATAGATAATAATTTATACATCATGGCCACGTACGAACCAGTTTAAATCTACGAAAAATGTTCACTGAAACACACAAGTTTACACATACCAAGGACATTATACACATCTTGTATAATGTCTCTGCACATACTATACGTCATTTGTAGTTACAGGTTTGTTGGACATAAATTTAACGAGATAGTTTGTTGTCTCACCTTGTAAAACTCCATGGTAAAAGCATGGAGGTAAAAAGTAAAAGCGAGTTCTTCCAAGACCACGCCGTCCTTCCATGACAGCTTTCCTTGTCCAAAATTCACTTGGTCAGTAAATCCACAATTTCTCCCTCAAACCTCCAAAGAACGGCGTAAATCCACCAAGGAAACATTCCAAAGGCTACAGAAACTTCTTACTATTTGTATTTTGCTAGCGAGAGGCCAGAATTTTACCCCAAAAGTTGACTTCCTTCTACAAAACCGTCGCAGCTCTGGCCTCATGGCATGACAGCTTCCACGAACACCTGACTGATTATGAACGGGCGGTACCATGTCTAATTTCTTCATAGGGGCGCATACTTCTAATTTAAAAGCTATTAAAATCGTCACCGTTTTCCTACATTTGCAATGAAATAATAAAATGGCTAAGAGTAACTCAATTTTGTTCCTACCTCAACGCAAACGAATAAATATTCATCTCTTAACGGGAAAATAACTTCTACAAACGATGGTATCACCCCTCCATTTCCAGCTTATTTGGACCAGGATCACAGCTGTGGGCCAGGCTAATTTAATTATAAGGATGGCATCCTCAGTTGTCACATGATTTG